AAGTAGGACTTACGGTCTTTGTTTAGTCTGAATAAAAATGTCAATTAACATGTCCTTAAAAAAAATCTTTTGATTTGTGTACCTACTCACAAATCAACATGACATGGCCTTCTTAAATATATGAATGTAAGAAAATATATTTTCATCCGTCATTCTATCATTCCACTAGGACCTCAGGTCTTTCTCTAATCAGAATAAAATGTTAATTATCACGTCCCTAAAAAAAATCCACTCACAACTCTGCACCAAATAGCATTTTGAAATATATGTATGTATTTTAATAGATGCAAGAAAATGTATGGCCATCCTCCATACTATCATTGCACAAGTAGGATATAAGGTTTATTTTGTAATCTGAATAAAATGCCAATCAACATGTCTAAAAAAAAACAATCGATTGATTTTGCATGCCTGCTCACAAGTCTCCAAAAAATAACATTCCCTTCAGTGGGGATGGCGGTTGTGATTGAGGGTACTTGGATGACATGGGGTGTTGAGGGGCTTGTCGATCCCTCCGACGGGAATTGTGATCGTGACTGCTGTTGCTCTTGTTATTGTTCTTTGTTGTTGCTATTGCGAGCAGCATTCGTCATACATACTCCCCCCGGGCGGGAAGAGTTAATCATTCACGAGGACTCCCTCCTTGCCGAGAGGGGAGGAGACCCATCCACTTCTGCTGGCAACAACTCATCTCCTTGCTAACGTTGGCTAGTAGGGGGCAAGGTGCTTTTGTCAAACCTTAGGGTCCGAAGAGGTTTAGGACTCCAAGATGGGGTGGCAATGCTCCCACCCAACTTCAGCTTCCCGACACACATCGAAAGATGGGAGTCACACCACTAGTTAGTTTGATGTAATGCTCATGTATGTTTCTGTCTTTCACAGTTTGGTTCATGATTTATACAACATGTAGAGAGCTTACAGTAAGTTTGGTAGCATAGTTTAGATAGCTTTTATAATCATTTTGAGCTTATAAACATAGATCGTGTGCAATCATTGTGAAGAGACAAAACTATCCCATAGTAATATCATGTGGGCACTTGTAGGGACATTTGGTCACGACGGACTATCTTGGACCCTTTGTCGTGCGACCATATAAAGCTTTTGAAGTATATATTCATAAATCATATTGTCTACCATGTGTTTGTCGAAATGGGTGTCATAATTGGACAGACACAACTAGCAAATCCTATGGGAGAGAAATTTTGTGAGGGAGTTTGCTAGTTGGTTAGAAGTATGGACATGACAAACACGTATTTAATGTCTAACAACTTGATCTCTAATAAAATTGAAGTCGATCATAATGTATTTCATATATGAGTGAAACATCGGATTAGCACATTAGTAGGTGAAACATCAGATCTTTTTCTAATTAACATGTCCCTAAAAAAAAGACTTTGATTGGATCACCCACACACAAGTCTCAACAAAATAGCATTCTTAAATATATGCACTTGTTTTAATTAATGCAAAGAAATGTACGATCATCCTACTATCATTATACAAGTATGACTTACGGTCATTTTTTAATCTGAATAAAATGTCAATTAACATGTTCTTAAAAAGAACTTTTGATTTGCGTACGCTCACACAAATCTCCACAACATGGGCTTCTGAAATTTTTGAATGTTAGAAAATGTATTGTCATCCTCCATTCTATCATTCCATAAATACTATGACCTACGGTCTTTTTCTAATCAGAATAAAATGTTAATTATCATGTCCCTAAAAAAAGATCCACTCACAAGTTTGCACAAAATAGAATTCTTATGTATTTTAATTGATGCAAGAAAATATATGGGCATCCTCCGTACTATCATTCCACAACTAGGATTTATGATTTATTTTTTAATCTGAATAAAATGCCAATTAATGTGTTCCAAATAGACTTGAATAGCTTGTAGATAGAGATGATCTTATCATCGCCTTAACTTATGATTAGATTTATCATTGGGATGGGTTCTCCTAATATTTAGATTTTTTCTAGTGGACAACTAAGAGAGTCATCGATGTAGCCTTATAGATCATATCCAAAAAAGATATTAGTGAATTATGCTTGCCAAAATATATAGTTACTACCTTTAGAGAGCTTGAAGGGGATCAGTTGATGCAGATAGAAGTCCTATAGGTTTTCAGAGGAAATAATAATTGGAGTTTCAGATGTAGAGGAGAAAGAAATGCTGAGAAGATGTTTTGATCCAATAAGAAAATTCCAGAATCAATTGATGGTCTGGTTTGAATACACATATGGTGGAGAAGTGGTGATATTATCTCCTAAGTCCTTCTCTGGATGACATCTGAGATGTGGTGATATGAGTAGTGCACAGAGGACAGAGATCAAATATGAGAAGTGCACAGAGGGAGGATTCGATCTGAGATGTGGTGATATTATCTCCTAAGTCCTTGGATACCATGAAGAATTTATTGTTAAGAAGATTATTTCATTCATTGAGGTAACATGTATTTATATAGGTAGTGAGAGAGAGATTTCCATCAATCATGTGTTCAAAACATACATTCAAATTATACAATTAAATATGTGTTTGATTCTCGAATCATAGATTGATTGAGAATTATAACATGTAAGAAATACAAAGTTATCATTTTATATTTGCCTAAATCATGATCTTCTATATCATTCTATATTTGTCAATCCATATTGTTTATATCATAATCTTGTATCAGAATGTAAGGTCATTTTCTAATTAAAACAAAATGTCAATTATCATGTCCATAAAAAAAGATCCAATCAGAAGTCTGCACAAAATAGCATTTTGAAATATATGTATGTATTTTAATTAATGCAATAAAATGTATGCCCCGTTAGGGTCAAGAGTGGCACTAAGAGGGGGGGGGAGGATGAATTAGTGCAGTAAAAAAATCATTGATTTCCAAAAATATTCGTTTCGGTTAAATCTGTTTCGGAAAGATATTAAACTTGAAAGCGTTCAAAAGAGTGTAAAGAGAAAGTTAAGGAAGTTTGCAATAATGTAAATTGCACAAATAGAAATGCAAACTAGAATTTATAGTGGTTCGGTCGTTGTGACCTACATCCACTTCCGATTCCTCTTCCGTCGAGATCATCGGCGTCCACTAATAGCCTTCCTTCAATAGGCGAAGACTAACCACCTTTTACAGCTCTTTTTCCTTTTACTGGGTTTAGGAGATAACCCTTACAAGCCTCACTCCTCTTTCTTTGAGGGTTACAAAGCTAAGAGAGGGAGGAGAGGACTCTTCTCACTTTTATAACACTTTTAACAACTCAAACACTTAGAATTTTCACAGTTTCGATTGCACTTTGTTACCCTTGCATGCAGAAAAAGGTGGGGTATTTTTAGGCCCCAATGGCTTCAAAATTAGAGCAAAAAATTATCTCATCCTAGATTTCTGGGGTACCGGCGGTACCACCGCCATTATTAGGCGATACTACTACCTAACAAAGCTCGGAGACCGAGCTCTGGCGGTACCACCACCTAACACTCGATACCACTAGAGGATTAGAATAACATCAAGATCATAGATCTTGGCTCAAGAATAGCATATCTTCATCATGTAAGATGGATCTTCTCGTAAGAGAATTCTAGGTCTCACAAAATGGATATCATAGGAAAGTACCTTAGAGAGGGTAAACTGCAGATCAACACCATTAGGATTGTAGAGTTTGCTATAAGGATTCTCCACATAAAATTTGGGCCGAAACTGACAACGTTTAGCCACCGATCGTCAAGCAGAAAACTCAGAAACCTAATCTTTCTCTCTCCTCTTTCCTCTGCACGTCGCACACTGCACGCTGCAATCGGATCTATTTTCCTCACCTTCTCTCTCCTCTTTTTAATTTCTTTCATTTGCTGATTTGGGCTCAATAGACCCAATTGTCTAAGCCCACATATGGGCTGGACCCAATAATTCTCCCCCTCCATCTCATATGGTGGGTTGTACTAAGCCTGCTCTTCGCCTACATGCTTCAAGCTTCTCCTTAGGCAAAGACTTTGTCAACATATCTGAACCATTATCATTGGTATGCACCTTTTCCAACTGTAATTCTTTCAACTCAAGCACATCATGAATCCAATGATATCTCACATCAATATGCTTGGATCTAGAATGGTATGTTAAATTCTTGGAGAGGTGAATGACACTCTGACTATCACAGTAAATAGTATATCCTTCCTGTTTCAAGCTCAATTCCTGTAGAAACGTTTTCATCCATAAAGCTTCATTGCAGGCTTCAGTAATTGCTATATATTATGCTTCTGTGGTTGATAGAGTAACACACTTCTGTAACTTAGACTGCCAAGAGACTGCTCCTTCCTGTAAATGTCATCAAGAATCCCGAAGTGGACTTCCTGGAATCAGTATCACCCGTCATGTCTGCATTTGTGTAACTTTCTAACACAAGTTCATCACTGCCAAAACATAAACACAACTTGGAAGTACCTCTTAGATATCTTAATATTTATTTCACTATTGCCCAATGTTCCTTTCCAGGATTAGAGAGAAATCGACTGACAACTCCAACTGCTTGAGTTATATCTGGCCTAGTACAAACCATAGCATACATCAAACTGCCTACTGTAGATGAGTAAGGCACTCTGGACATTTCTTATTTTTCTTTCTCACTTGTAGGACATTGTTTCGAACTCAGCTTGAAATGACCTGCAAGTGGAGAACAAACTGCTTTGGCTTTACTCATATTGAATCTTTCAAGAACCTTTTCAATGTAAGTCTCCTGAGATATACAAATCTTCCTTTTCTTCCTATCACGAAGAATCTTCATGCCAAGTATTTGTTTCACCGATCCCAAGTCTTTCATGGCAAAAGACTTACTTAGCTCTCTTTTAAGCTTTTCAATTTTTCTAACATCATGGCCAACAATCAATATATCATCAACATATAGCAATAAAATAATAAAATCATCATCTGAAAATTTTTTCATAAACACACAATGATCAGATGTGGTTCTATCATACCCTTGGCTCATCACAAAGGAATCAAACTTCTTATACCACTGTCTAGGTGCTTGTTTGAGTCCATATAAGCTTTTCCTAAGCTTACACACCATATTTTCTTTTCCCTTGACTTTAAAACCTTCTGGTTGCTCCATGTAAATTTCTTCTTCTAAGTTACTATGAAGAAATACTTTTTTTACATCAAGTTGCTCAACTTCTAAATTCAAGCGGGCAGCTAAACCAAGAACAACTCGGATAGAGGACATTTTACAACCGGAGAAAATATTTCTTCAAAGTCAATACATTTCTTCTGACTGAATCCTTTCACAACTAGTCGTGCCTTGTATCTCTATTGTGAGCTATTGCTTTCAGTCTTCAATTTATAAACCCACTTATTCTTGAGAGCTTTCTTCTCTTTAGGCAACTTTACCAAGTCATAGGTGTGGTTCTCAAGCAGGGATCTCATCTCTTCTTGCATGGGTTTAACCCACTCATTCTTATTATCATGTAGAATAGCTTCTTGGTAAGTTTCTAGCTCTCCCCCATCAGTAAGCATAACATACTCATGTGGAGGATATCTGGTAGAGAGTTGTCGCTCTCTAGTGGATCTTCTCAATGGAATCTCGACTGGTGGTGGAGGTAGTTGTTCAGTTGGTTCAGCATCATCAACTGTAGGTGTATCATCACTGGTATTCTCATCACAATCTTCTTGTTCATCTCCCCCATGATCATCATGAACTACAGGTGAAGGAACTGGACCCAAACTTCAAGGAATATAAACAGAGGTTTTTGGCTTCTCAATATTATTACCATCATCAAACAATTGGTCTTCAAGAAACACAACATCTCTGCTTCTAATAATCTTCTTGTTTACTGGATCCCATAATCTGTATCCAAACTCTTCATGACCATATCCCAAGAAGATACATGCTTTTGCTTTACTATCAAGCTTGGACCTCTCATCTTTGGGAATATGAACAAATGCTTTACACCCAAAGACTCTCAAATGATTATAAGATATATCTTTTCCTCTTCATACTCTCTCTGGAACATCACCTTACAGAGGAACTGATGGAGAAAGATTTATCAGATCAATTGAAGTTCTCATTGCCTCCCCCCAAAATGACTTTGGTAACTTGGCATGGGAAAGCATACACCTAATCCTTTCTTCAATGGTTCTGTTTATCCTTTCTGTCACACCATTCTGTTGAGGAGTTTTAGGAACTATTTTCTCAAGCCTGATACCATGGAAGTTGCAATAATTCTCAAAAGGACCCTTGTACTCGCCACCATTATCTGATCGAATACACTTTAGTTTTCTGCCAGTTTCTCTTTCAACACTGATATGAAACTCCTTGAAAACATCGAGTACCTGGTCTTTAGATTTCAAAGCAAAAGCCCACACTTTTCTAGAATGGTCATCAATAAAAGTAACAAAATAAAGAGCACCTCCAAGAGTTCTAGTTTGCATAGTACAAACATCAGTATGAACTAAATCAATAACATCTGATCTTCTAGATGATGGATATGTCTGAAATGCAACTCTATGTGTTTTTTCAGCTAAGCAATGATCACAAGATTTAAGAGATGTACCTTGCAACTCTAGTAAGAACTGCTTTCTAGCAAGAGTTTGAAGTCCCTTCTCGCTGATATATCCAAGCCTCTTATGCCAAAGATCTATACTTTTACCTTTTTGAATTGCATTAATCTCTCTTTTGTATAGCTTAGCTTTCATGACATAAAAAGAGTTAATCTTCTTTCCTTTTGCCACAATCAGAGAACCTTTAGTGAGTTTCCATTTGCTTTCACCAAAATAATGTGCAAAACCCTCATCATCAAGTCTGTCTGTAGATATCAAGTTAAGACGAATATCTGGAACATGCCTTACATCTTTGAGTATCAATTTGCTCCCAATACTAGTCTCCAAGCAAATATCTCCAATACCCACAATCTCAGATGTACCATTGTTTCCCGTTCTAACATTACCAAATTCACCAGCAGTGTAAGATCTAAAGAAATTACAATGAAAAGTGACATGAAATGAAGCACCAGAGTCAATTACCTAATTACTGTCCTGAGCTACAAGACTAACACAACCTTCATCACAGATAATAGTGATATTACCTTCAACAGCAACTATATTGGTCTCTTTTTCATTTTTCTTCATTTCATTCTGTTCTCGCTTCCAAAACCTACACTCTTTCTTCATGTGACCTGGCCTATTACAATGAAAACATTTGATATCTCTTCTAGACTTGGATCTTCCTCTATAACCATGTGGATTTCTGCTATGACTTCTTCCACGTCTTTCTTGTTTTTCAGTAACAAATGCCCCAGAAGAAGATTCACCCTGTTCTTTCCTTCTAGCATCTTCATTTAGCAAACTATCTTTAACCATATCTATAGTTAAAGTCCCCTCTGGCATGGAGTTACAAATAGTCACCACATACGTTTCCCAACTTTCTGGTAAAGAGCTGAGAAGTAATAATCCCTGCATCTCATCATCTATATTCATTTTCATAACAACCAACTTATTTGCAAGACTCTGAAATAGGCTTATGTGCTCAACAATGTTACCACCATCTTTATACTTCAAATTTACAAGCCTTCTAAGGAGAGAAATTCTATTTCCCATTGTCTTTTTCGCAAAGAGGTTTTCTAACCTTTGCCAAACAACATCAGCTCTAGTTTCATCTGAAATATGCTCATGCAAGTTTATATCCATCCATCTTCTAATATAGGCAATAGCTTTTCTATGTTGAACTTCCCATTCTTCATCGTCCATAGTAGAAGGTTTATCTTTAACCTTGATAGGCTTATACAAATCTTTGCAATAGAGCAAATCTTCCATCATACGCCTCCAAGTGGAATAATTTGATGAGTTCAATTTAATCATGCCATTTGACTGCTCCATTTCAATCACACAAGAAAAACTAGCACCAAACAACCTGTTGCTCTGATACCACTTGTTGGAAAGAAACCTGTTAAAGCGGAATAATTCTTTCCCTCTTTGTGTATTAAAATAGGTTCCTCATCAAAATACCAACTTGATATCCAAATAAAAATATCAACCAGCACAGCATAAACAATAGAGCAAAAATCAATCACACAGTGAGATCAAATCTTTTCAACGTGGAAAACACAATGTGGGAAAAACCACGGGACCGTAGTCCACCTCAAACTTCCACTATCAATAATAATGATAACAGGTTTATAATAGGTCTTCTCTAGAATAACTAGACGATCAGAATAACATCAAGATCATAGATCTTGGCTCAAGAATAATATCTTTATCATGTAGGATGGATCTCCTCGTAAGAGAATTCTAGGTCTCACAAAGTAGATATCACAGGAAAGTACCTTAGAGAGGGTAAATTACAGATCAACACTGTTAGGATTGTAGAGTTTGCTGCAAAGATTCTCCACATAAAATTTGGGCCGAAACTTACAACGTTTAGCCACCGATGGTCAAATAGAAAACTCAGAAACCTAATCTTTCTCTTTATTTCTCTCTCCTCTTTCCTTTGCACAGAGAGAGGATTCGATCTGAGATGTGGTGATATTATCTCCTAAGTCCTTCTCTAGATCGCAAGTGCTTATGAGAGTCGAATTTGTTGAAGCATTACTTGAAGCAAGAGGACTCTGATACCATGAAGAATTTATTGTTAAGGAGATTATTTCATTCATTGAGGTAACATGTATTTATATAGGTAGTGAGAGAGAGATTTCCATCAATCATGTATTCAAAACATACATTCAAATTATACAGTTAAATCTGTGTTTGATTCTCGAATCATAGATTGATTGAGAATTATAACATGTAAGAAATACAAAGTTATCATTTTATATTTGCCTAAATCATGATCTTCTATATCATTCTATATTTGTCAATCCATATTGTTTATATCATAATCTTGTATCAGAATGTAAGGTCATTTTCTAATTAAAACAAAATGTCAATTATCATGTCCATAAAAAAAGATACAATCAGAAGTCTGCACAAAATAGCATTTTAAAATATATGTATGTATTTTAATTAATGCAATAAAATGTATGGCCTGTTTGGATCAAGAGTGGCACTAAGAGGGGGGGGGGTGAATTAGTGCAGCAAAAAAATCATTGATTTCCAAAAATATTCATTTCGATTAAATCTATTTCGGAAAGATATTAAACTTGAAAACATTCGTAAGAGTGTAAAAGAGAAAAGTTAAGGAAGTATGCAGTAATGTAAATTGCACAAATAGAAAATGCAAAACCAGAATTTATAAGTGGTTCGGTCGTTGTGACCTAC